TCCGGCATGATGTGCTTAATCACTGTGATCCCACGGTGGGCCCAAACCTGGGGGTCCGGGACAGAGAGCAGGTGCTCAAGTCTTGGATTGCCCCACAACGGGACATCGGGGGAGATGGCACCAGCCGGCACCCTTCCCCTTCTCATCCTGTCCCACACCGCCAGTACAGTACGCATAGGTCCCGTGACCGTCCCAACTGCCTTCGGACCCCTATAAACCAAGTTTCTCAGCCCTGCATAAGAACCCATCAGAGCAGCCTCCAGAGTTACCGCCGGGTTATCCTGATCCCCTATAAACCACCACCAGACTGTCACCAGAACCGACGCCCAATAGTAGGTTTTGAAGCATGGCAGTCCCAGTCCCCCCTCGGACAAAGGGAGTCGGAGGACTCCCCTAGACACCTGAGGGGTTTTCCCCGCCCAGACAAAATTGGAAATAATTCCTTCCAGTGTGTGAAAAAAGGAGATGGGAATCTGGACCGGGGTATTACGGAAACAGTAAAGAAACTTCGGGAGGAACACCATTTTCAGTAAGTTGATTCTACCCACCGGTGTCAGGGGGAGAGTTTTCCATGCCATACATTTTGCCTTCAGGTGTCTAAATATGGGATATAAATTATCTTCTAGGAATCGGGCACGATCCGAGTTCACCACCACACCCAGGTATCGAAATTCAGAAACCTGCGTGAGGGGCAAGCCCGGGTCAATCCGAAGGGGGGACGAGCCCAGCGGGAACAGCAAGGATTTCCCCCAGTTCACCCGGAGCCCTGAGAAGGAACCAAAGGTGTCTATTATGCTTAAAGCCGCTGTCAGGGAAGGCCCTACATCCCCCAGGTAAAGTATCGCATCATCAGCATAGAGTGAGAGCTTCTCCATCAATCTCCCCACTGGGAGCCCCACCACCCGGGCCGAGGCCCGAAGCAGTATAGCTATAGGTTCCATCGCCAGCGCAAATAGTCCAGGCGAGAGGGGACAGCCCTGTCTCGTGCCACGGCCCAGGGCGAAGGGGGTCGACAGCATATTGTTGATGCGTACTCTAGCAGTGGAGGAAGAATAGAGGAGCCGTATCCAAGCAATACAGCCACCCCCAAAACCAAATCTACGGAGAACTGCAAACAGGTAGGGCCATTCAAC